AATATCTGATGAAAATCTTTTTCGCTATACGACTGCATTTGTTTGTTATATGCTCGCTGGAGGCATCGAGAAGGTTCCAATCGCCGTTGCTAGGCAGTTTCTGCCAAGAGTTTGTTGTATACTCTTTGGAAGCATCGAGAAAGATCCAAACGCCGTTGCTAGGCAGTTTCTGTCTGGAGTTTGATTCCTAATAAAACGTGTGTCCCATTATATCGACATCTCCAAAGTACAATTCTATGTGATTTCTAGGGGGAACAATACAACCGATCCACACCTTCGTCAGGCAAAACGTTTATCCCGTGACCGTGGCTACGTTCGGCGACCGGTTGTCACCTCGAACCCACTTTCGCTATCACAAGTATCGAACAATTACAATCAGATTGAATGGCAACAATTGCTTAATTACAGCTATGATAGAATCTAGGCTAAAGCATTAGAAGACTTTCCCAAAATTGCAAAGGGAGGACTCCGGTTTTCCTTTCATCTCCGACAAGTATATAAAAAGAAAAAAATAGACGATTGCAAGATAGACGATCTTCATCTAGATTTCTTCTATCTTGTTCTTGTATCTGGCAGCGATCGAGGGGAGGAGAGTTGGAGGATGGTGATTTCCTTCCTTTTTTGAATGTGCGATATATAAAATCGAAAAATAATGGACTAGAAAGTGCTTTCGATCGACCAAGCAGGTTGTCATTGGCAACGGTGGATTTAAGGGTATGACCTTTAAGGTGGTGCAGAAGTCTCTTATATGGATTGCGTCGCATTGAAAGCTCCGTTCTTTCTTTTCAGTCTGATCGTTGCCGGCACCGATTTCACGTTTTTTATCTGTGCAACGATGTCGTTTTGATAAATCTAATAGCATGCGTTATTTCAAGGCACGCTATGCTGCCATCGCCGTTGCCGTCGTTCGCCTCTTGGTCGTTAGTGCACGCGTCGTTGGGCAATTTATAGCTGAACAAGACGAGAGACAATAAATTTCTCGGTGACGACGACAAATCACGACGAAACGAACGATGAATAATCGTGAGACTAAAAGCAGCTGATAAACAGAGGTGTTATAAAAGTAACACAGAGCGTCGTAAACTATACAAAACAAGAGGAACATCGAGTGAGTTGAGGTATAGAATAGCTTAAAGTAGTTTTAGTGTAGAGTACAACAATATTATTTGAATCGAAAAGGGGCGAATTGTATTTTGCATACGTTGCAATTCAATTCTTTACTTCTTCTGCTTCTTACATTTATACATTTGCTTTGTCGAATTTTCTATGTCACGAGTTACTTAAATATTTTCTCGTTTATCTATGTATAATGAGGTTAATTTTTAAATTTGATTATTAATTTATCGGAAAAGAATCATTTGTTATTCGCGCGTTTCGAGATAAATACAGTGTGTTGCGAATCCATTCTTCTTTTTTTCGACGATTGGTGATAACATTATCAACGAAACCCGACTCTTAATTATCATTTATTTATCATCGATACGAACGTCCGTTTTTGCGAGTTCGTCTCTTTTCTACTTTCTTTTAACGATAACGATCTAATCGAAATATTCAGTAATATTTCCTCCGGTTATATCCTTATATTTATAAAATGTATCTTTCGTTGGGTTTGGCTCGAAAATGTTGTTCATTTTCGACGCAGAACTCTTCCGAACGTGAATTTCAATGGAATTTCAGCAAAATGGAGTTTTGCAGTTATCGTTTCAGGGTATTGGAATATTATTTTAGAATATTTATATTTGATTTCGAAAAGGAAAAAAAACGTTAATCCCGATGGAGGGATGAAAAACCATCCACTCGGCGGTTGAGCGCGAGTGCGCTCGCAGATGCAGCGGTTACATTGGCGATTCCCTTTTTGCATTTCTTCGCCATTCCAGTCAATTTACTCAAATATTTTTGCATTCGTATCGGTATCTTAACAACCTTTGTTTTCGTTTCCCCGTTAAATAATTCATAATTCACGGTGAGTAGAAAATTTCGTAATAATTTATGGAAACTTTTACTCGGGCGTTCTTTCGATCTTGAAATATCTTCAGATGTTTCTCGTTGCTTGAGAAGATAATAGATTTTTCTGACAATTTGGTGACACAAAAATCTCTATAGAATATGAAGATACATGGTAGCAAACATAAATATTAAAAACCTAAATAAACAAACAAATGCTTGCAATGTAAATAAACAAAGCGAGAATGTTTACGAACAAGTTGGCAGTGTAGACAAATAGAAAATACATCGTCATTCTGTATTTCATAAATTGAGGAGAAATATGATGCCCGCTATTTTTATTTCTTGTTAACACAAAAAAACAGAATTGTGGATAAAACGCGATTCGGAGAAGATGCTTGCTCGCACTTGCTTAGTTACGATTCGTACATTTTTGACTTCATCGCCTCCTCGCAGAATCACGAATGTTTCATGTGCAGATGTATCTTTAGTCAGCTGCTGGCGATCCAATTAAACACAAATTAAATTTCCGTGTTCAGTCGGCCACAAACGTTGAATAAGCGAAATGTAAACATTTAGTTCATGGGACTAGTTTACACGTGCAAAATGAATTCTCCATGTTATTACATGTTCCACGAAATCTAATTAAATTACAATTCGTCCAATCCAAAATCTATAGCGAGTCTTACTATGTATATAATCCAGCCAACCTCCAACCAACTAAGCTTACTATTTCTCTGAAGCCTGCGTATCCTACGTACAAATTCAGAAAATCGTAATTTTCATTTTCCATCTTTTACTCCAGTATCATCTTATTCCAGAGTTTCCAATGTTTCCGTGAGCAAGATGAAAGACAGACAAAGAAAAAGAGAGAGTGAGATATCTGGGACGACCCGGTATTCTATAATGACTCGATTGAAACTGTGTTAAACGAAAGAAGGGGGTGGAAAAAAAGTAGAAAAGTTAAAATCATTTTAAACGAAATAAGAGGGTGTAAAAAAAGTGGAAATAAACTACACGCGGGCACACATGCGTGTTTTTCTTGTTTAAAGGGCCAAATTATACGCGATGCATTGAATGCATCGACCGTACAACGCGCGCTGGTACACAAGTTTTACGGTTCTCCGCGTTCTCGCCGGTGCATTTCCGCGCACTCCGGAATTACCAGCTGGATTTCCATCAGCCATAAAACCTTGAAGGGTGCATTCCTCTGTTCGCCGCAGATGCTAAAGCTTTAGCCGGCGTTTGGCAGGATAACAAAGAATTAAGCGCTGCTCGGGGCCTGAATTAACAGGTATTTATAATTTGGAAGTCTGTGGAAGTTAAACTTCCTCATATAATACGTCATATCCTTTCGTATCTTTAGTTGTGTGCGCAAAAAGATAAAAATTAAGCTGTTCAGAAAACATATTTTTCGGTTTTTTTCTGAATTATGATATTTACGTTTATGGAAAATTGAATCATAATTTAATCATGATCATAACAGAAGAATATAATCAGTATATTTTTGTTACTCTTCTGATGTAAATGTCACTTTTTTTATTAAATAATAGCTGGGAGGACATGTAATTCGGAACTTCCTAACGAGAGGAATGTGCCTGTCCGTGTCATAAACGGACGGCCACTCAAATTTCGAATTGCAGCCCTGGGAGGACCGGTAATTCGGAATTTCCTAATGAGGGAAATGGGCCTGTCATATGAGCTTGTTATATGAGTAAATAAAATGTAAATAAAATAATTATTATTTCATACTTTTTAGTGTATCTAATTTATATAAATGCGATGAAAATTATTTTTCACTCTTGGGCGCATTTCGAAGTCGGTAATATCTTTTTGGAAAAATGTTTTGTTTATATTTATATTATATATGTCGGGTTAACATTAAAATTTAGGGCGCATAACGATTCTTCGGTTGGATTAGCCATCGTTTTACGAAGCAGAGATTATATTTACACGTATATACAAGGCTTTTACAGAGTATAATGAATATTGAGTTTAACGAATAACAAGATTAACGAATAACAAGATTAACGAATAACAAGATTAACGAATAATAAGATTAACGAATAATATGTTTTACGAATAATAAGTTTAACGAATAATGAGTTTAACGAGCGCTATTAACAATGTTCTTGGGTTGAAACGAATCCACGGTCAACGGGATAACTCTTTACTATGCGTAGAAGAATTTTAGACACAAAAATACGATTGCTGAGATGCTCGGTAAACTGCTCGATGTATCACTTTCCAAGGCGATCACAGGAATGAATAACTGATGAAAATTTTTTTTCGCTGTACGACTGCATTTGTTTGTTATATGCTCGCTGCAGGCATCGAGAAGGTTCCAATCGCCGTTGCTAGGCAGTTTCTGTCAAGAGTTTGTTGTATATTCTTTGGAAGTTTGTTGTATACTCTTTGGAAACATCGAGAAAGATCCAAACGCCTTTACTAGGCAGTTTCTGTCTGGAGATTGATTCCTAATACAACGTGTGTCCCATTATATCGACATCTCTAAAGTACAATTCTATGTGATTTCTAGGGAGAACAATACAACCGATCCACACCTTCGTCAGGCAAAACGTTTATCCCGTGACCGTGGCTACGTTCGGCGACCAGTTGTCACCTCGAACCCACTTTCGCTTTCACAAATATCAAACAATTACAAATGACAATTGCTTAATTACAGTTATGATAAAATCTAGGCTAAATCATTAGAAGGTTTCCTCAAAATTGCAAAGGGAAGGCTCCGGTTTTCCTTTCATCTCCGACATATAAATTGAAAATGAAAACAAGTTGGTAGGTTTATAGTGTATGTTTTTTAAAAATAGCTCATAGGTTAACGAAATTTTGTGCAAGCCAAAGTTATAATTGGTACTTGTCATGATATTTAGTGTACGAAACTAATTTCTGCTCTGGTTTTATTTCTTCCGTTGTATTCATAAAAATTTAAATTTTCATAAATCTTCATAAAAAGCCACAGTGTACTCGTAATTTATTTTAATTGATTAGTCGCGTGGAATATTTTGGCGAACGAAACGATAGTTTTCTGCTTCCAACTTATTTGCGGTCAAATTTACGTTTGCAATGTACTTATTCATAATCGAATTTGTGCCAGTCCATGTTCGTTTACGGTGAAATTTATGCTACACTAAGCGGTCACCGATAACATCTACGTTTATGACTGAATTTATGACGCAATACGCGATACGTCGATGATTGACGTTATAATATTTACGCTGTTTGCTTATTTCGGATATCAATGGCTAACTTTATACGCTTATGATTTTTTCATTGGCCATTACGCGGCGAAAACTAATGGGGAAGAAAACACATTCGACCACGATGTTCAAGACTAATAACTTGAAAGCTACCCGTGCCACGGAATATTATACTTTCATTCTCTAATGGGAAATTTGGACCTTTGCTTCTTTCAAAGAATTAAATACAAATGAAAACGCTGTACCATTAAAAGCATACTAATTTCTGCGATTATCTTTATTCTAACGGAACTGAACAATTTTAAATTGATAATTTCCTAAAAACTTTCTTACATTCTATGTATGCATAAACATCTTTTGTGAATCAGTAGAGAGTATACGAATAAGTGATAAGTTTAGTAATCGATGTTTAAATTACATTTAATAGGGGCCCACTGCATTGATTGCATTTGCGGTATTTTATGAGGTTGCCAGATTCACCAGACAGCCTGTTTGCCCTTTGTGATTTCTAATGTCACATCAGTGCTTTACACGGTTAATGGCACGTGATTATGTTTACAATGCGCCACGTGTCCTCCAACGTTACTGTTCGTTGTTTGTGCAGAGTATCATGTGACTTCTGGTTTGCGATACATTTGTAATGGACAATACCGAATTGCATTTACCCAGCCTAAATTATGGATTTCGTGTAAATTCGACAATTAGACCAAGTGGAATATTGAGTTACGGTAAATGAGATTCAAGGACAACGATCCTTACATTTATTTACAATTGATCTCTTATTTTTCCCAGAGTATAATGGGCTCGAATACAAGTATTCCACATTAAAAAGATGAAAGAATAAAAAATATCAAGAAATCTCTTATATTTGCAGGTGCAGTTTGATTATAAGAAGGAGAAGCTTCTAGGAGGAAATTATCGAAGATCGAGAAAAGTGAAACGACATAAAGATGTTGGCACTATTTTACAATCGCTGATCCTCCATTTTTTCCAGGTATTAATAATTTTATTTATCACACCAAGAAAAGAAAAAGACAACATGATTAAGAATCTTTTTGTATTCCAAAGATCAGTTCGATTTTAAAATCGAGAAGAAACTTACACAAGGAAATTATCCAAAGATAGATAGAGGAAAGTAAAACAAAACGATTATCAACGTGGAAAACGACGGTGGAGGTCGGAAGACACGTAAAAACAATTCCGGCGATTAAATCCGAGTAGTCAGTTTCGGTCGCTCTTCCTCTCGTGGAGTCCAACAACGCTCGTTTGGAATTGTAAAACGGCGGACGATGCAATCCTCCGAACGAATCCTTTAAACCTTGGCACAGTAATTTTCTTTACTAGCCACATTACCATTATCTTCGGGCTAGCTCTTAGCCGATGGTTATACTTTCACAACCGCGTTTCTTCTTTTTTTTTCATAGTTAATTCGATCGACCGTGTAGCCATACCACTGATGACTAATTAAAGTTCAAATGGAGAATTCAGAGATTAAAACACAATCATACTTAGTTGGCTGGAAACACAAACTGACTGGAACTATTTATCGGAACACGTGCACGCAAACTGGTAAACATGACGGCAAAAATGACAAAAGAACGCAGACAAATTTTACCGTGGATAAATTTACGAATGTGGAATGCGACGTTGAAGTGCAGACGAATTTCTTTCCTAACGTCCGCGACAGATTTATACAAAGTTTTAGAAATTCCAAGGAACCGAGATTCAAGGATTACTCGAACGAGAAGATTCTAGAGAGCATCGTAAAGATACAGAGGTTTTACAGGTAAAGTAACGAACGGCGGATGTTAAGATAGCGAGTAGAATACGAGCAGGACAGGGCAGGTTTTCGCCATATCTCGCGACTGGCAGAAATAAAGCCACGAAGCTTCGCTAAATCAGTTATTTTTATTAATTAAGTGCTCTAGCCGGTACGAAGAGAAGCGTAAAGCTCGATGTTGCGGTAAGATACACAATTTACTCGCGTTGCATAGGTAGGTCGAAGAGAAACTGGTTAAGAGAACAGAATTTCTCTGTTTCGGGACTCGAAACTTTCTCACGCCATTTACAATAATTTAACGTAATATAGATCAATTTTAAACTTCTCCAATCTTATCGAATTGTTACTTCGATTAACTTACACAGTTTTACAATTCAAAGTATTAGTTTAGTACTTGGCGCTTAATGTTCTCCACTGACTTTCCACCCGATGAAATATTTCCAAGAGCCCAGCTTTCAACCCCCGAACTTCGCCAAACCGTCTGCTCCCCAAAATCCTTTGGATTTCCTCGAATCGAACGTGTCAACGAAGAACACAGCGCGCACACGAGCTCGTAACTCCGTGGCGTAAACTTTTGGCGACGAACAAAATCTCCGAGGAACACCTGTTCAAACGTCTGTTCGACGTTGCCCGCAGAGCTCACCGCGGCCGGCAAACCACGATCTCGTCGAGCGGCGTTTCAGCCTGCGCTAAGAACACGAACCGGCGGCAAATACAGCCAGTACCGAGATTCTATCGCAGCCGGGATTTCGTGATACTAAACCGCACGTCGCCGAGTACCAGGGCGGACTTCGAGTTGCTGTACAATCTGCTGGATCGTTGGCGTATCTACGAGACGAAGAGTGCGAGTGAACAGCTGTTCCTGTCGTCCAGGATCGCATTGTGCAGTTTAATCCTATCAAAGGAGGTAGAGCTATTACGAGCTATTGATTCGAGGAAAACCGCTATCAAATTAAAAAAGAGAGAGCAATCGTACAGAAAATTCTTGGATGAGTTGTGCAAGCCTGTCGTATGGAAAACCAGTCATGGAGAATCGATTCCTGTAATTACACCGTTTGTACAGCACGCCAGATGCTTTAGAGACACGTTCGAAGAGTTGTCGAAGGAAAATATGACTGTTAAGGAAAGAATTGAGATGTTGTCTAAATTGAGAAAGGATATAGAGCCTCATACGTGTAAGGAATCTGATGAACTGGTACGTCTGTTGAATCAAGAGATTGATCTGTTGACCCGTAACGTGGAGGAAAGTAAGTTGAATTGGTTAAGAAGTGGCCTGAAGATGGCTTTTTTGAGATTGGCAAGGGAGTCCTTGAGAAACGAGCGAGAGGATTCGAGGCTGATCAGTTGGTTCCGGACCAGTTGTAAAACTATCTGCAGGAGCTGCGGCAGACTATTGCCTCTCGAGAAGTTCCCACGCGAGAAACGGTCCCGTTCCTCTTCGTGCAATTACTGTCTCTACGTGAGAGTTCGCACTGGGCCTCGGCTCGTATACGAGCCCTATCAAAGACTTCTTCGTGATGTAAGACGTCGCGAAGCTAGAATCTATTGTTACACTAGTCTGGCTTTTGTTATTGATGCAAAAGCCGTTTACCATTTGGTGAACGATATTTGGCACGGAAAATCGGCCATTTCCGAAAACGATAATTTAGAAGAGTTGAGGTTGGTGAGATTTCGAAATGACGAAGAGTGGTCACCATGGAATTGTCTTTTATTAACCATGACGGAAGCCTCGTTGCATCAAAAGGTAGTTGACCTCGATAAGTTTTACGGACCGATGATACTACAAAAGTTCTGCACGAAGAATCTTCAGGCCAAACTTCGGTTCGAGTTCGTGGCCAAATTCAAGAGCCTTCGTGGGAATAAACAATGATATTAAACGCTCATTTATTATTGTTCTTCGTGGGAAGTTAATTAACGAGTTGCGGATACTTTCTTCAGCGTACAGTAAAAGGATAGAGTAAAGAAAGCGAAGTTTGATATCACGTTGGGAGTGTTGAGCGAATAGTTAGATGCTGAGAATATTTAATTCGTATACATGGAATATCTGGTATAAAATAAAAGTATTTTCATGATCGTCTAAATTTATTCAATATGAAAAATCTATCACCTTACACCTCCACACGATCTCAATAGAAAGATATTAGAGGATAACAAGTACCGTGTATTTCTTGAAGCGTCCAATAAATAATTATTCTTATAGTAACTTTTACATCAACAAAAAAGGATATGTTATTTGTATCTTTTATTTTTTATCGCAGTTAATCATCTGACTTTCTTAGTTCTGTTCGTGTGCAAGTTTATTAAAGGAATAACATCGACACCAAAATGTGATTTTCTCATTTAAGAAAGTTTAAAATTGATATTATATTGGTATTATGATATATTATATTATCTTCTGTCATATGTGTTATAGGAGAATTTTTCGCGTTGAAAATACCTTACATAGCGTATGCATAGAAACTGAAGAAGATCTCTGCTGTACGTTTCTTTTTCAGCAATCCTGCAGTCTGTTTCTGTAATTTCATTCTGGGTAATCCTAAATATTTTCCAACCATTAGACGAAGGTCCAGCTTTATGGAGGGGAAGTAAAAAAGATATCTATGTGTTTATCCTTACAATTTAAAAAGATGGAAAACAGTAATAAAGCCCAACGAAATGGTCGTCTTATGGTTTATCGCAGGGTGCGTAACGCGCATGTCCTCATAAAGCTGCCAACTTTTATTTCCTGGTGAACTGTGTCGTAACGTGAAAATGTTCCGTGATTTAAATTTAAGACCGTAACCTCGTGAAAGTTATTCGTTTAAAATTTTAATTTGTAGACGAGGTCTACGATCCCAATTGTTTATCAGAAATTGTTAAGATACTACATCGAAATGTATGTAGGACGTGGAATGCCGTAATGGATCTTATTCCTTCTGCGGTCAAGGCTTCTAATATTGATAAGGAATATGACACCGCATTCAATTTGCTTAATAAATGTATTCACTGAAGAAGCTTTCAGCTGTATACGACGTCTGATCAAATGGTCGCTAAGCCAATGCCATAAATTTCAAATACACTTTGAGTCGTTCCGCGTCAAAGCGATTAAATTGACCGTGGTATCGTCTCTGATATCACATTTACACAACACTTTTCGGATGTTCTGCTATCTATCGACTAAATCGATCTAGTCGCTTATAAATAAATCTATTAATCTATTATCTGTAAAAGGTGAAAGTTGCCTAAATCTTGATTGGATATTAATCGAACGTTCGAATTAAATTTTTATTTATGAATAAGTTAATTGTAATTGCTTGAAATTCAAAGTCTAGATGAAGCATTTAGTTTAGTAGTTTGTGTGATAACAGATAATAACAGAAACGTTACAACTGTCGCAGATAATGTCGCCGCATCTACTATAGAACGCGGTTAAGTAGCTTAGGACTGCATGTGGTCGGACACAAAGTTTAATATAAGATGATTAACGCTCAATGCGATAAGCACATGTTAAATATAGTACGGGACGCAACTATGTCAAACTGACGTACCAGTCTCTTCCTGTGATATACAAAGATCAAATGATCGCTTGTGAAACTGTAATTGTCCAATGTAATTGTCAAATGTTCATTTCGTAAAATAACGGTACAAAAAAGCGACAACAATGGAGGAACAGCGCGATATTCTACGAATGCCCATTAAACGGCCTTTTCAACGTTGTTGGAACTGTTCGAAAACTAGGGGAAACACCGGAAACTCTCTAGAGCGATCTGCAGCAATGTTGCAAACTACAAAATTACTTCCTGTCACTTTGCAACGATGCTTGGAAAGTTCAGCGATGTTCGTGAAATTGGAGACTACATTATAGATCGTGTTTTCTTTTCGTAGAATAAACATTGTCTTTTAACGAATTAATCGTACAGGTGGATTCTAACGGGACCGGACGTCGCACAGATATAGAGTTTTCGTCTTGGTGAATGCATAAACAAGTAGCGTCTTTCACGGAGAAGGAAAACGGTCACGATATTCAGCGAAGAATTGTCAAAGTGAATTGAGTTGCCAGAACTTCTCTCCCCCAGCGAACTTTTCGATTATTTGAAATTATGGCAGCTCCCTGGAGAAGTAGAAGGAGATTTTCAACGATTTGTCCCTGTGGAAAGCTCTTCCATCGTATTCACGATAAGATATTATCATCGATTTCTTTTAATAATTTGTCAAGTGGTCGAAAAATTCGATCTCGTATAGATTTATCGCGATAAACGTGGCATTTTAAAAGTTGAAACTGAATTATCGATACTTGAAGAAACTAATTACGAAGTCGAAGTCGAAGACAGAAGTTCAGCAGCGGCCAGGAAGAAATCATTTTGCAATTATCGAACGTAAACTTCAGTCAGCTCACGATTTAATCAACTGGTCCGATGCAGTTTTGATTGCTACCTCTGATCTAATCGAATTGTTCACTTTCATCGTTACTTTCATTATTTCTACGTTTCAGCGTGGAAATGATGTCTATAATTTCGGTTGATTCGATTGCAATCGTTGGTGGGGAGGATTGAGGAGAAGATGTTGAATCGATGAACCGTTTAATTTGTACTAATAATGTAGGTATGCGTTTAACGAGCCGCCTTTAACGACGAGATATACGACATCGATAGATTAAAGCTTTCAATTAATTAGCCATCGAATGGCAAACGATTAATCATTTCTATTGATAGTGGCTAGTGAAAGGAAACTAATAAACCGAAATGGGGTTGTGGCAACGATTAATTTTAATTTTTTTTCAATCCCCTACCTCTATTCTGATTGAGAGTCTGTCCTCGGTGAACCAATAACGCGACAAATCGATACATACCTACACACGGATTCGATTATAGCCAGGTTACAGGCGAATTTTCAACTTTTTACCAGGCCCGTACGTCGATAGTTTCGCCATCGATTAATCATTTCTTTCAATTAAACAACCGACGAAAGTTAATAAACCGAAAAATGGGCTCCGTTACAGTCATCAATTTAAATTTGTCAGAAGTTGGCTGACCGTTTAATACCCTATCATAGGTGTCTGTGCAAATCGATCGACTCGACGTTCGCTCGATTATTACGTCCGACAAAATGAATTGAAATAAATTAGCGATATACCAGATCAAGCGATTGTTATTCCCGGTTTCACGCGCAAGTAACTTGGTTATTCATAATTTAATTGCCGGTGATCGAATGGTCTCCGAACGTTGTAATTATCATAATAACGCGGACCATGTAATAATGATCATTATTAGAATGATACGAGCGACCATTATTAATTTCTAAATAGCTGTTGCAATTTAAATGCGATTTAAACATTCTGTAGATTAAATGACAAGTTGTAATCATTATCCACTTTACTTTTCTTAATAAGATTAAAATTGTAACATAGGAATCTACTATGACGTCTTGTCAAATTTTTCTGCATGGAACAATAACGAGACAGACGGGGATACCTCACATTATCGACCACAAATTCGAGCGCGTTAACACCGCTTTCGATTTCAATATATCGTTAATGAGTTTTATACGTAGCCACGGACAAAGCGGTCGGGGTATCAACGCCACTATTAAAACGTTTGTACGGTGACGTGATCGTTAGCAGACTGATGTAATGACAGCTTATCGATGAATCAGTCTACCGCTAATCGTATGCATTCGATTTTAACGATTAATTTGTTTATACGACCAAACATCAGTACCGTGGACGCTATCGAAGTTTTGCACCTTTGTTTATTGATGAATTAGATTAATCTTTTTACTACATTAAAATTCTTGTATTTTATTCCAAAGTATATTCACAAATATATAGTCTCCTTTTCATAACAACACATTTTCTCACAGTGGTCTCTGTTCCCTTTTCTTATTTCTTTCTACTCGCCTAGAAAAATATACATATACGAATAATACGACATACGTAATACGAAAAATATATGTGGCTAACATGTGGCAAAAATATAACAACATTGACAAATTTTATCACGCGTTCGTTTAAAAATATCTATATGTTAGGTCGTCCGAGAAGTTTCTTTCGTTTTATAAGGAAATAATGGATGCGCATCATTTTCCGTTTTATATTATTTTATCGAATTTCGTATGATCCATTTCGTTCTATCAAAATAAAGATCAAAACGTTCGACGGATTAGGTTTCATGTTTGTATAGAGATGCATCGTTGTAAAAGACGTGTGTGTAAAAGAAATACACTTTTCGGGCAACCTAATGCTTTTATAAATCTACTCGGATCAATCACGTTATTGCAAGATCAATTATTATGCAACGAAATTACGCGTAAGCCGATCACTATCCGATTCATGAAATCATCGATATCATAAAATCTTCTGAATCCACTCCACAAGTTATTCACAAATGCCCAAAATCTCTTCAATGATATCCCTCAATCGCGGAGCACTTTAATCATTTTCCGGAACCTCTAATCACACTCAGAGAGCCGCAAGCGAATCACACGCGAACGGCATCACCGTCAGCGTGTTTGAAATGCGGGGCATTAGTCGAAGCGCGGCTTCCAACGCCATCAGAGGAGATTTCGCAACACGATGAAGCCACGGTCACGATCATCGCGATAAGTATGGAAATTAATATGAAATCGGCGAGAGAAAGGCGGAGACTTGCACGCAGGTAACGCACATACGTTACGAAAGTGGTGGTTTGGAGGCTGACAGGAAAACACGGAGGTTGGACCCCAGTGATTCATAACACGGGTGTCGCATAAATTGCGGGTGATATGTTGGCGCGCAATTAGGGTTTGCTAAATCGGCATTACTAATTAGATTTGGTGTACCGAGCTCGTCTGGCCGACCGAGCCGCCTCCTCCTCGTCGTGCGTATAATTGATTCGAGTTTCAAACTAATCTATACTCCCGGTTGCCTCTCGATAGTGATCGATAATCGTTCGTGAGGGGATGAAACCGGTGCTAAGACCGGTGAACCTTGTCATCGGCTTGTGTAAGAGCTCTCAGGGGGAATCAGCGTCAAAAATCACGTGAAATGAGAACGCCTTGGAATCAACGTAAGCTCTGTCTGCGTCTAAGTATGGGTGGTTCGCTAGAAAGTAAGAAAG